CTACATATATGTCTCTGAGGCACGTTCATGCCTAGTAACTGCAGAGACCAATAGAGGGCGTCGGATCCCAGGAAACAAGATTTACGCATAGCTGTGACCCACCACGTGGTCCTCTGTTAGAGCACTCGGTTCCCTTAGCCTCTGAGTCATCCCTCCAGCCCCTGAAATTTCATAATCTCTTGTCTCCCATTTCTACACCCTCTTTGACAAGGTAATCTACACATTATAGAAAAACACACGCACCCTTAACTGACTACACAGCCATTACCTCTTGTTATTATTTTTTAATCAACGAATGACAAGCGATGTGGTTAGTCCCCAGAAAACGCTAGCAGCAGGACCAGCATCAACCTGACTAGTGAGAAAAAGTGCCACCAACCCTGGGGAGCTGGACTTGATCTCCTGGGGTCTACAACCTAGAATAAGAGAATGGAATCAGGAAAGATATCCTCTGACCTCCACACATTTCCTGTTATGTGAACTCATGAGTACGCTCACACACACACACGCACACACACACACACACATACACACACGTTAAAAGAAAATACTAGTAGTTTCTTCTTCAATTATTTCTTTATTACTGTCCTGGACTCTGTTAATCATTTGTTTGCAATCACATCTGACCCCCTTGCTGGGCTAGAATGCTCTAGAAATATAGGATGATATATTAGAAAAGTAAAGGAAATGGACTGATATTATAAAACAGCAACTGATTTCTTACTTTGTAACTTGAACATTCAGGCACACTAGTTTTTCAAATAAAATGCCTTGTTAAACTCCCTCTCTGCCAAAAATGTACTACCATCTGTGTTCTACATGGCAGTGTTTTCTTATTTAATACACATGTCCCGCTTTCAGGAAAAGCATGGGAAAAGCTTTAATATGACAAGAAACAGAAATAAAATAGTGAAAACACATTGTGTTTCAAAATGAATGCAAGGTTCAGATTTGTGACACTGGGAGAAATTGAAGTTTCATGTGCTCTCTATTAATTTTATGGCCATACTGTGAGTCCTCAATGCCATAAAAAATTTAATTCTAACGTGCATGAAGTTTGGACTCAGAATTTGTTTATTTAAAAAAATAGTATAAGGGCCTACTATTTAAAATGGGTTAAATCTCATCAGATGGTTTCACAACCCTGAGGCACCAAGAGTGATTATCACCAGCAGTGGGACAGAAAGCCAATTTTTGGCCTGAACAAGAGTTTTGCACCCAGCTTTAGAAACTGCACAAAACCTGGGCAAATCATTTACCTTCTCAGCGGTCCTCTTCCCTAATTTGAAACACGAGGGCTCTGAGTTAAAGTGATATTGCCCATCTTTAGGTGACAGGGGCGCTTTCCGAGCTGGTAAATGTATCACCAGCATTGTGGGAGATCACTTCAGATACTTGTAGTCCACCACAGTGCTAGGGACTAAAGCTGGTGTCTCCCACACGAATGGCTGAGTATACAGATCACCACTGAGCCACACCTGCAACCTCATAACTCTATTTAATCCACTTATTATTTCCACTCTTTTTTTCTCCCAGTACTCCAGGGATTGAACCTAGGGCCTCAGATGGCGGTCTCTACCACTGGGCTGTATCCCCAGCCCTTCATATTTTGAGACAGGGTCTTATGAAGTCTTTTTCTAATTAGACTTTAACGTGTTCTGTAGCCCAGGAGACCTAAAACTTGAGAATTTCTGGGATGTGGGGCCTTTAGCTCCAGCTAAAACATTTGTTTATTTGTTTGTTAGTTTTTGAGACAAGGCCTCACTGCATAGCCTTAGCTGGCATGGAACACACTACATAGAACAGACTGGCCTGGAACCCAGAGAGATCTGACTGCCTCTGCCTCCCTGCGGGCGGGGCTTCCAGGCCTGCGCCACCTCTCCGGGCAAGCTGACATTTTTCATGAAAACAACTTTTATTGTAGAATCTTTTTTTCCCTACTCTGCTTTTTAAATCCTTCCTCCCTCCCCTCTCTTTTGGGAGGGGTACAGGGTCTCATGTAGCCCAGACTAGTATGGAACTCACCTTGAACTGCTGACCTTCCTGCTTCTCCATCCGAAGTGCTGGGTTACTGGTGTGTGCTGCCTTCATGGAGTTCATGTTGGAACCTAGGGCACCGTGTATACTCAGCAGGGACTCACCCATCTGGCTAAGTCACAAGTCCAGCTTTCTTAATCCAGCTTTCTTTTGAGCCAAGACTCATCATCTTGGTGGAATTCATTTGAGTAAGATTACATGGAGCCATGACTAGCAGAAAGAACACACAGGCTGCAGTGTTTGTGCATACACTGGTATTACGGGATGCTCATACTTCTCTAGGTGTGCCGATATGGATGGGAAAGCAAGCGACTGAAGCTCTAGCCCTGGCCCTTGCTACCCTCTAAGTGTGCTGTCTTCATACTTACTAATTAAAGGAGATCAGAGATAATCTCCGCGTTTACTGTCAAATGTAACATTTTGCAGGGCTATCAGAAAAAGAAAGTTCAACTAGAGATAACTTTTCTCAAGGGATGCTTGCCTGTTTCTTCCAAAATTCCCAGTGACTCCTGCATTCGCACACTTCTCCATCCTTGTGAGGCTGGGAAGTGACGGTTCCACAAGGCTTTTCTTGAGAAGAGTTTGTACCAGGCAAAGTCAGGAAACAAGTTGAGACACTCAGCAATGCCCTGTGCTTCAGTAAACTGACATTTTGACACAACTGTAGAGTAATTGTCTGTATCAACCTTTTAAAAACACCTTAAGCCGGGCGGTGGTGGCGCATGCCTTTAATCCCAGCACTTGGGAGGCAGAGGCAGGCGGATCTCTGTGAGTTCGAGACCAGCCTGGTCTACAAGAGCTAGTTCCAGGACAGGCTCCAAAACCACAGAGAAACCCTGTCTCGAAAAACAAAAACAAAAACAAAAAAAAAAACAAAATAAAACACCTTAAACATATTTTGTCCTTTGTATTAGGACATTGACAGTACAGATTCTCGAATTATTTTCCTTTTTGGTATTGAACTCAGGGCTTCTTCACACACACTAAGCCTGTGCTCTCCCACTAGCCCATACTATTGAGAGCAACAATAGGGGATAGTGGGCTTAGAGAATTTGAAGATTTGGGGAAAGATTTAAGAAAAGTCCTTTAATCAAATGCTCTTATCTCAGAGAAACACGTCCCGCGAAACCCGGAATAGAAATGAGGTTAGGGCCAAATTCACAGCTGGGCTCCATTGCCAAGAATGATCCACTAATACTCCTCCTATTGCAGGGTGTGGCTGTCTGAATGTGGGCCCATCTCGGCAAACTGGGACTGGAATGGGAAGGAGTAGCAAAGAGTTGTGCTTTGTGGTCCATTTATGCTCACTGATTTACTCAAGTCTCCAAGCGGCTGCCAAAGAAGACCCCACCTGCCAGAATTTCTAGCCAAGGTGAAGAGAAGAGATGACAGCCAACCTCCATCCCTCCCCAGCACTTCTGGTTCAGGATCGCCACCCACATCTCTTTTCAAATCACTAGGAAACCATTGCAATGAAAGGATTATGAAGAAATAGTGGCCTGGACTAGAGAGATGCTTGAGACAAGGAGGAATAAACCTCTACATAGTTTTAACCTTTGCAAGAACCTGCCTTTCTTTAGATGCCCCCTTTTAAACAGAAGAATTCCACGTAGGAAAGAAGAATGGAATGCAACAGCAACAGGAAATTAGGAGCTGTCTTTCTTGGACACATCCAAAACCCTAATACTCATCTTCAAGTCTAAGGCATCCTATCCATTAAAAGAAAATGCCATCCATCTTTCTCTTAAAAGAGAAAGCAAATCAGAAAACCAAGCTAGGAAACGTTTTCTCCTGCTCTGTAAGACGAAAAGGATCATTGTCTTTGTACCTCTGGCCTTGCTGCCTATCTTAGATATCCAGATGTATGAGCTCGCACTGGGAACAGTGAGGTGCAGGTGGGAGCAGGCCGGTGGCGCAGAAGCAGGAAGCTTAAAGGACCCGGGGCGGGGGGTGGGGTGGGTGGAGGCCGTGCCCCGGGGAGAGGAGGGGCTGTGCCCCAACACTTGGGTCTGATCTCCTTTTTCGATTTCACTCAACACCTCCTCGCTTCCATTCTAAATAAAAAGAACTAAGCAACCCAGGGGTAATAAAGTGCCAAGGTTGTCTCTAAACGCTCTCCTGACCCTTTGGCCACCACTCCGGTTCTCAGGGGGACAGTGAGATTCCCGCGGCAGGAAAGCGGTTCCCACAGAAGACTTCAGATCCGAGGCGCTACTGGATCTGTGTGTCTGTGCAAACGTAGTGTCTTCTCCCCCGAGCCGCACCTCTTCTGGGTTCAGGATGACTGGCAGCTGGGGGCTGGACCGAACCGCAGCGTCTCAGCTCGCAGGTGTGCAAGGGTAACGTGGGAAGTGGGGGGACAGGGAGCCGCAGAGTCATTGGTCTCCGCTGTAGGATCTTCTGGGGCGGCCCGGACAGATGCCAGCTTAAGAAAACATTCCTCCAAAACAAACCCCACCGACTTCCCCGGAGCTCCGCGAAGACGCGTGGGCGGAGCGGGCTTAGTGGAATCCACGAGGCTCCCCGCCGCCCACGTCGCGCCCGGGAGCGCGCACCGGCCCCGCGCCACCCCTCGAGTCGGGGTTTGGGCTCCGAGGAGTACTCGTTTGCACTCTGTAGTAAACAAAAGTATGGTCGCCGCCTCCTCGCTGGTTTGCCTCCGAACAATCCGAACTCTGAGAGGCGAGAGACTCAGAAACACTTGAAAATTACAGAAAAATAATAACGGAGATTGAAAAAAAAAAAAGTGTGTGTGAGAAAGAAAAACACCCCACTACCCCCCACCAACCTACTGCCGCCTCCCGAGGGAGAGCAGCGCCCGCCCAGGCCCACGCTCATTGGCTAGCTGGGCGGAGATGTGGCGCGTCCATTGGCCGCGCTGGCTGTCAGTCAGGGGCGGGTCGGCGCGCGCGCCGCCGCGGGCGGGGAGGCTCTGCAGATCCCGTAAGTCGGGAGGCTGCGGAGTCGCTGCAGTCCCTGCCACCGCCACATTCAACAGGCAGCAGCGCCGCTGTCGCGCGGCCGCGGGGAGAAGGAGCGAGCGGCCCGCGGCGTCCGCCCGTCTGCTCTTGCGTCCGCGGCCCTGTCAGCAGGAGCGTGGCGCCCGAGCTGCCGGGCCCCGCGGCCTGGTCCGTGTCCCGTCCAAGCCACGAACTCGGAGGATCCTGAACCCGCGGTGGCCCAGCAGCGAAGTTAAGTTCTGGGCGCGTCCGTCCGCCGCGGCGCGCCTCGCTCCGGCGTGCGTCCGCTGACCGCGGTCCCAAATCTCGGAGCGACTCTCCGGTCGCCCCGCTCCGCGCCCCCGGTGGCCGCGGCTCCCGGTCCTTTCTGCTGGTGGGGGAGGGGCGGGGGTCACCATGGCCGAAGCGCCCCAGGTGGTGGAGACCGACCCGGACTTCGAGCCGCTGCCTCGGCAGCGCTCCTGCACCTGGCCGCTGCCCAGGCCGGAGTTTAACCAGTCCAACTCGACCACCTCCAGTCCGGCGCCGTCGGGCGGCGCGGCCACCAACCCCGATGTCAGGGCGACCCTGGCCTCGGCGTCCGCTGTCAGCACCGACTTCATGAGCAACCTGAGCCTGCTGGAGGAGAGTGAGGACTTCGCGCGGGCGCCCGGCTGCGTGGCTGTGGCGGCCGCGGCAGCTGCCAGCAGGGGCCTGTGCGGGGACTTCCAGGGCCCCGAGGCGGGCTGCGTGCACCCGGCGCCGCCGCAGCAACCCCCGCCGACCGGGCCGCTGGCGCAGCCTCCACCCGTGCCCCCCGCCGCCGCCGGGCCACTCGCGGGACAGCCGCGCAAGAGCAGTTCCTCGCGTCGCAACGCGTGGGGCAACCTGTCGTACGCCGACCTCATCACCAAGGCCATCGAGAGCTCGGCCGAGAAGAGGCTCACCCTGTCGCAAATCTACGAGTGGATGGTGAAGAGCGTGCCCTACTTCAAGGATAAGGGCGACAGCAACAGCTCGGCCGGCTGGAAGGTGAGCGGCCTCTCGGGGTGGCCCTGGGGGACGTGGTGGGGCGGGCGGGAGGATCGGCGGTGTGGGTTTGCGGGTCCCGGAAATGACAGGGCGTGCGCGGGGAGAGTGGGTGTGAAATGGCAGGTGTGCTGGGGGGGCTCCTCCGAGATCTGGAGCTTTGGACCGGGTGCACGCGAGGGAGTTCGAAGTGGGACCCGGAAAGGGCTTGTTTGGGCACTAAGTGCAACGCCAGAGCAGGCGTGAAAGTTAGCTAGCTGTCGGAGCGGAGGGGGTTCACTTCGAAGGGCTCCCCACTTGACACCCCGGACCTGCCTGGCTTCGGGCGGCTGCTCCCCGCCCACACGCGCACCCACTCTCCCAGCTTTTGGCGGTCAAGGTTCCCCCCGACCCGCCAACTGAGGTCTGTGCTGGAGTCCTGGCGACATCCCGCTTGCGGCACACGCACCCTTCGGGGCACCGGCTGCCGGTGGACTGGCTAAAAGACGCGGGGCTGGCAGAGCTAGGTGCAGGCCCGCAGTAGCCGAAGGTTCCCGAGGCCGGAGCAGATTTGGTTTTTATCCAAAGTGGCCTGAGCAGGTGGTCGAGCGTGCCCACTCACTGGTAGGGTGTCGGGCCCGTGCAAGTGGGCGGCCACGGCTTTTAGGCTCTGGGCAACCTAAAGTCTAGTGTGACCCTTGGCCGGGGCGGGAGGCGGCGGGGAGGGAGGGACCGCGTGCACAGGAAGCTAGGGCCTTTAAAGGGCCAGTGCCTCCAGCCTGGGAGGCCACTCTAGTACTCGGGGAAGTGCTTCCACACTTGGTCTTGCTTGGGGAGGGGCGCTTTTAATTGGAAGCGCCGAAGCTGCTACTCGTGACTAGATTCTGCACGGGTGTTTGTGAGTGCTTTCTCTAACCGGAAAGCATGGAGCGACCCACGAGGGGCAAGTGGGAGCTTTGAGTAAGTATTTGGTCAAAGTCTTAAGTGGGGTGCTCGCTTAGGGAATTGCCAAAGACGGTCTGCCTCGAAGGAAGGTTGCAGATTTGTAGATTTAGGTGCTCGTGGTCCTTGTTTACCTTTCTGAAGGTGGCTGGGAGGAGACTCAGGAGCTGGAACTGCGAAGTCCCTACCTGGTGGTGGTGGGTGATGTAAGGGCCTGGGGCCTTTTGGAGGAGGAATTGAGATGTTGCACCGGGGTCACTCTCGCGGTGGTCACCCCTGGCTGACAGGGTCTCGGCGGCGGCACAGGTGGAACTCAGATCTTAAGATTCTCCAGTTGAACGCAGCAGCGTTTAGCTTTTCAACTTCCTGGTCTTGACTGTACAGCCTAGCAGAGATTGTTACAGCAAGGTGGTTTCACGCACATCCCTGTGGTTAAAGGATCTAAAAGGTCAAGTTACTCACACCTTAGGAAAGTTCTTAGAGAAAGAGCCAGGGTGGTTTTATTTTTGCCACACTGTGTTTTAAAGGTATATACTATGTCTGACGTGCAATATTCTTACCAAGTGTTCCAAAAAGTAAAATACCAATTTCTCATATTGTAATTCACAAAAATAGAGGTTCTCTATAAAATCCAATTTGACTCAAGTTTTTGACTGCTTTAATCATCGGTGGAACTTCAGCTGTTAAATGAAGCATTTGTCATTAAAACAAAGCAACAACAACAACAAAGCCTAAAACCCTTTGGACACTTGAAGTACAGTGTAAAATTATGTTTTTGGAAAGAGATACAACCTTCTTCAGTTTGTTTGAGTGCCTTTAAAGATAAAGTCAGTGTTTGCGGATATTTTTAGTTTGCCTTTCAAATGGCTGTGTGTGAAGATACTCTTCAACTAGAACTATACCTTAATTTTAAAAATTAGTTTTTAGAAAAATAAGAGTTCTGGCTCATATTTTTAAAGCAATCTTATTTTCATCCTTTTGATTTCTTAATAATTCAAGTGTAATTATTTATGTGTTTTTATTTTTTTTTCTCATTGGAGCCAAGAAACTTCTTAAGCATGAAGGGTTCCTCAGAAGTGGAGGTGTAGCCACTGTTGCTTGAGCAACTGGCGAGTTTTGGGGTGGAGGAACAAGTCACCACATTTTCAAAGGAGTAGATGCTTGACTGTAAGAAGTCAGTCGGTGTGCCCTAAACTGTGGCCAGTGTGTTTTCAGTCTTAGTAAAGGGGTATTTTAAGAGGAAACCTGAGCCGTTGTAACTCAGAACTAGTCTTCTGGTTGAAACTTTCAGAAGATTCGGTTGTGATACTTGTTAAAACCAAGTCTCACTCTCAGATCTGAAAGATAACCCTGAAAATTCATAAAAGGAAGAAATTATGTTACGACTTAGAATCCGATTCTAAGATGCAAATGAAGCAAAACTTACCTGTTGTAATGCCATGGAGAAGCAGCTCTGGAGCAGAGCATTTCCTCTGATTAGCTGTTGAGAATTGGCCGAATCGTTAATTAAACTGTGCTTTCTGACCCACTTCCTGGGACTTCCCTGAGAATCCGAAAGTCTTTTACGAAGGACAGAATAACTGGAAAGCTGTTAGTGTCCAAACATTTAATTTTAGAAATCAGGACATAGTTCAGTTGGTAGAGTGGTTTCCTAGCATGCAGGAGATTCTGGGTTCACTCCCTAGCACTGTGGAAACAGGGTGTGGTGGTGCAGGCTATTTTTCTAGTGCTTGTCTGTAGTCCCCAGGTAAACAGGGAAATGGTGTATATTTGTATATACAGGTCAGACATTTTTGAAGAGTAAATTATAAATTTAAAGCCGGGCATAGTGAAACATGCCCGATAGATACTATTGCATTCAGAAATTGGAGATAAGAGATCATAAGTTAAAAATCATCTCTAGCTCCATAGTGCACTCTGGGCCACCTGAGTCAAAGAAAATGAAAGAAAAAACCTTTTACTGTTTAGTCAAGCATTGAGCATATACTTTTCCTGTTTGTGGACATGGTGTGTAAGTAACATCTGTCTTTCGCTGTGTGTGTGAGCACACATTTGTCATTTGTTCACACATATGCCTAGAGTGGGAGGTCTTCCTCAGTCCCTACCTTGGGTCTCAATAGGGTCTCTTCCTGTGCTGGTTTGGGGACTTGGCCAGGCAGGCTTGAAATGAGCTCCAGGGGGTCAGCCTCAGGCAAGCACTTCCAGGGCCCTCTCCCCCAGCATTTTTTATCTTTTTAACGACTGGAACTGTCATAAGTAACACACGAGTGGAACTTAACACTTGGAAAACCCGAGTCTTTTAAATAGCACAGTATTTGTAAACAATGAAACTTCATTTCCATGATGTTTCCTAGCATAGACATTCTGAAGCTTGGGAAGTAGCAATTGTGAGCACATAGTGTTGGATTTCTTTTTTTTTAAGGTGGCGGTTTTGAGTTGACTCTTGTTTATTGTTTTGATGGAACACTTAAAACATGCTTTAGGGCTGGGGACTCAGATGGTCCAGCGTGCAGGAGAGCCTTGGTTTATTCCTGTGTGCAGCATGTGCGGGTTGGTGCTCACAGCATTCAGCACAACAGTCGGGAAGTGGAGGCAGGAGAATACGAAGTTCAAGGTCATTCTTGGCTAGATAGCTCCCCTGGGGTATCTGAGACACTGCTTCAGCAACAACAAAATAACTTGACTTTTAACATTTAAGATAGTGAAATAGTTCACTACTTGTTGATTTTGAGTGAAATTTCTTTAAATTTATCAATAAAATGATAGTGTATTTTCTTAATATCTTCAGATTTGTCTTTAGTCTGCAGTTAAGTCTTTTGGTCTATAGCTGAGTAGCTGCAGCTGTCTGACTGGAGGGTGGCTATTGTATTGTGCACACATACCTATGGCTTAAGAGAGCCCTTCTTTCTGAGACGGAGGAGAGGACTTTATGGTACTTTTCCTATTTCATTGTGTCTGTGTGTTCACCATGTGTAGACACCCATGGAAGTCAGAAGAGGTGTTGGTTACCCCGGAGTTTACAGGTGGTTTGTGAGCCATGAGGTGGGTACTGGCCACAGACCCTGGTCCTCTACAAAAGTGGCGATTTCTCTTAACCTTTGACCTGCCTACCCAGCTCCTATTTCTAGTGTCTGGTGCTTTTTCTTTTTGTGGTCATTGACGTTACCTTAAAACCGTTTTTATATTCAGACAAAACCCTCAGACCTGCAATATGCTGACTACCTGGGAAGATGAAGAGAATGGGGGCGGGTTAGGAGACAGTGAAGCTAAGTGTTGTGTGTGTGTTGTGTGTGTTAGCTGTTACATGCTAAAACACATTTTAGAGATTTGAGTCCTGTGTGGTATTCCCACATGGGACACCATAGCAACAGGACTGAATTTGACCCAAGCTTCATAGCAAGCCCCCCCCACAAGTCTCCACAACAGAAAATAGATACCAAATCTGAAAAATAGAAGAACATTATTATTACACTTCTCCTATGAACTTTTTCTCAGCGGGAAGGATCTTCCATGTTTGTTGCTTAAGGATTTTTCATACATGCATATGTTTTGATCAAATCTGCCTTCCATTCCCTCTCCTCCAGCTCTTCCCTCATTGTCCCCAACACTTTTACCCTCCTCGCTTCGTGTGCTGTGGTGTTAAATGCACTGAGACTACTTAATGCTGTCTGTATGTGCATGGGTGTAGGACTATGTACTAGAGCGTGGGTAGCTTCTGAGGACTCCTTCCTCTGTTGCCATCAGCTGTTGTGATAGCTCCTCAGCTAAGAGTGGGAACTTAGGAGCCACTCCCACAGCCCTGCTGTGGTTTTGGTTGGCTTGACCTTGTTCAGGTCTTAGTCTTGTAGTCCTAGCCACTGTGAGTTCGTGTGGGCCCTGTCTTGCCCAACAAATACTGTTTTGCTGTAGATGGCTGTTACCCGTGGCTCTTCAAATCTTTCTGCCCCTTCTTCTGAGATGTCTCTTGAGCCTTGGAGGTGTTGGTGGTTAAGCATTCCAGAGTCTTAATTCTCTGCACATTGAATAGTTGTGGCTCTTTGCAATCTACCGCTAAAAGAGGCTACTGTGGTGAGTGTGGAGAA